AGGATCAAGATGACTAGGCAATGCATTAAGATGCTTATATTAATCCTTAAAGAATTTACAAGAAAAAGAATTCACTCATGTTTTTTTTTTTTAATTTTTAATTTACTTTTAAATCTTTACCCTAATATTTATTTAACGAAATATGATAATACGCGCTTAAACTCTTTTGAATCCATAACCATCAAACTTTAGCTATAATAACATGTTGACTAATCCAAAAGTTAGTTAGTAAATCGCCGATACTTTTAATCATTAATTATATAGTCATTGAAAAAACATTAAAAATCAAATAGACCAAAACATGAATCCCCCTTAGACTATTTTAATTAGGTTAATTAAAACCCTTTATAGATTTCTTTTTCCTCTTTTTACACCATTACAACCAATCAAATTAACACCATATACGAAATGGCTTGTTGAATACCAATGTTATAAGAGTATGATATTAAATTTGTATTTATTCAAATTAAACTTTCTTTTTTTTTATCTCAAAAGCAAAAAAAAAAAAAAAAACTTGCTCCTTTACAAGGTTTAAAACTTAATAAATCAAATATATCAATCAATTAATTTAGTAGAATATTTCTCACTCCCCTGCCACGGTATCTTTCTAACGTTAAGAGCTTCTTGAATCTATAACATTAATTTTGGTAAGGTACAGAGCAAAATTCTCTAACCTAGGGGTGGCACGTTAATTTTGTTTTTGTTTTTCGTAATTTTCCATTTTACATTTTTTGGGAGATTTTTTATATTTAAAAATATTTTTATATATTTTATTTTTTAAAAGTGGGATCCACTTTACACTAAGTTTTTCTTTTCTTTTTTTTTTTTTAAATTTTTGCTTCTTAAACTTAATTTGAAAAATTAATATTTTAAGCACGATGAGATTGTCCATATGAAACTCTTTGAGCATCTTTTTTATTTTAAAATTTAAAATTTTTTCTTTTTCTTTTAATTTTATTTTCATTTTGTCTTTTTTTATTTTTTTATTTTTTGATTCTTCTATTAAATAAATTTTGTAAGAATATGATGTTAATTAAGGCATGCACATGTTATTCCATTGGCTTTTTTTTTTTTTTTTTTACTTTTCACCTTTTTTTTAATTAGGTAAATTTTGAAAAAAAAAATCAATGAATAGAGAAGGTAAAACAAAAAAATTTTGATCCCTATAATGCTTGAGTAGTCGTAATTATTTTTCCTTTTTAAGGTTCTTTTTTTTTTCTTTCTGATTTTAGTTTTCTGATTTTCTTTTTTAAATGCTTTTTAAAACTGTTGATTTTTTATTTTTATTTTTTAATTTTTTAAAATGTTTTTTTTTTAATATATTTAATAAATATATTTTAGCAATTTTTTAATTTATGTGAGACCAACTTGATATTGAATTTTGCCTTCTACTCCTTTTTCTTTTTTTCTTTTACATTTTCTAATAAAATATTTAATAAATCCTTTTTAAGATTTTAATTTTTTGTAAGTAGGATCCACTTGATACCAAGAGTACACCACATTTTTTTTTATTTTTTTACTTTTGCATTTTTTTCTCTTTTTCTTTTTTTTGTTTTTTGATTTAGTTAATAAATAATTATTTATATTTTTTTATGACCTACTTGATATCATGTCATGTGTCAAGCTATTTGATTCTTTTTTTTTAATATACATTTTCTTTTTTACTTCTTTATGTGACAAATATTTTAAAATATTTTAAAATTTTTAAAAGTGGGACCCATTTAATTTAATTATTAAAAATAGACATTATTTTCTTTTTTTGTTAATTTTCTCTTTTTAATTTGATAAATATTTATTTTATATTTATATTATATTAATAAAATTATTATTTAATATATTAATTTAATAAAAATATTATATTTATACTTAATTAAGATATGATCCATATATTCATCCATCTATTATATACATTTTACTTATTTTGATTATTATTTGACCTTTATTTAATATTTGACGTAACACATTATTTTTCTTTCTTTTTTATAACTTATTTGCTCTTTCTTCAAAATTTTTATTTTTTATTTACACAAATTTATTTTTTAAAAAATAAGCCAATTGAAGTGTTTATGTGGTACCCTAATTTGATTTTTTTTCATTTTAATTTTAATGTTTTTTAATTATATAAATTTTGCAACAAAAGGAGCTGATGAATAGATCAAACAAAATAAAGATTTATCTGATCAATACTTAACCTATTTGATATATGGTAATGGAAGAAAGATTGCGAGTAGCAGCTTAATTAGAGGAGCATATCACCTATAATTTTTTTGACTACAATATTATAATTGTTCAATCAAAATAAAGATTTATGTAAAGGTATATCATTTATAAATGTGAACTTTATATAAAATTTTAATGAAACTCATATAATTATGAATTATGATTAATTAATTATATTACAATTATTGTAGGTGATATGTTCCTTCAATCAAGAAACATTAATCAGTTGCATGAATTAATTTTGAAAGATGGATCTGTTTGAAATGCGAGGATCAAGATGACTAGTCAATGCATTAAGATGCTTATATTAATCCTTAAAAAATTTACAAGTAAGAAAAAAAAATCACTCATGTATTTTTTTTAATTTTTAATTTACTTTTAAATCCTTACCCTAATATTTATTTTAATAAAATATGATATTATGCACTTAAACTCTTTTGAATTCGTAACCTTCAAACATTAATTATAATAACATACCGACTAATCCAAAAGTTAGTTGGTAAATCACCAATACTTTTAATCATCAATTATATAGTCATTGAAAAAACATTAAAAATCAAATAGACCAAAACATCAATCCCCCTTAGACTATTTTAATTAGGTTAATTAAAACCCTTTATAGATTTCTTTTTCCTCTTTTTACACCATTACAACCAATCAAATTAACACCATATACGAAATGGCTTGTTGAATACCAATGTTATAAGAGTATGATATTAAATTTGTATTTATTCAAATTAAACTTTCTTTTTTTAATCTCAAAAGCAAAAAAAAAAGAAAAAACCTTGCTCCTTTACAAGGTTTAAAACTTAATAAATCAAATATATCAATCAATTAATTTAGTAGAATATTTCTCACTCCCCTGCCACGGTATCTTTCTAACGTTAAGAACTTCTTGAATCTATAACATTAATTTTGGTAAGGTACAGTGCACAATTCTCTAACCTAGGGGTGGCACGTTAATTTTGTTTTTGTTTTTCATTATTTTCCATTTTACCTTTTTTGGGAGATTTTTTATATTTAAAAATATTTTTATATATTTTATTTTTTACAAGTGGGATCCACTTTACACTAAGTTTTTTTTTCCTTTTTTGTTTTTTTAATAATTTTTACTTCTGACACTTAATTTGAAAAAAGTAATATTTTAAGCTCGATCGGTTGTTCATGTGGGAACTCTTTGAGCATCTTTTTTATTTTAAAATTTAAAATTTAAAATTTTTTCCTTTTCTTTTTTTTTTTTAATTTTTTTTACTTTTTTAATTTTTTGATTTTTCTATTAAATAAATTTTGTAAGAATATGATGTTAATTAAGGTATGCACATGTTATTCCATTGGCTTTTTTTTTTTCTTTTCACCTTTTTTTTAATTAGCTAAATTTTGCCCAAAAAAAAAAAAAATCAGTGAATAGAGAAAGTAAAACAAAAAAATTTTGATCCATGTAATGCTTGAGTAGTCGTAATTATTTTGTCCTTTTTAAGGTTTTTTTTTTTTTTTTTCTGATTTTAGTTTCTTTGGTTTTCTTTTTTAAATGCTTTTTAAAACTGTTGATTTTTTATTTTTTTTAAATGTTTTTTTTTTATATTTAGTAAATATTTTTTAATAATTTTTTAATTTTTGTCAGACCCACTTGATATTGAATTTTGCCTTTTGTTCCTTTTTCTTTTTTTTTTTTGAACATTTTCTAACAATATATTTAATAAATATTTTTTTAGATTTTAATTTTTTGTGAGTAGGATCCACTTGATACCAAGAGTATGCTATTTTTTTTTTCATTTTATTACTTTTTTCATTTTTTTTCTCTTTTTCCTTTTTTGATTTAGTTAATAAATAGGTATGTTATTTGTCAAGCCATTTGATTCCTTTTTTTTTATTTACATTTTCTTTTTTACTTTTTAATTTGACTAATATTTTAAAATATTTTAAATTTTTTAAAAGTGGGACCTATTTGATTTAATTATTAAAAATATATATTATTTTCTTTTTAATTTGATAATTTGATATTTTATATTTATATTTATATTTATATTATATTAATAAATTTATTATTTAATATATTAATTTAATAAAAATGTTATATTTATACTTAATTAAGATATGATCCATTTATTCAACCATCTATTATATACATTTTATTTATTTTGATTATTGTTTGACCTTTATTTAATATTTGACGTAACACATTATATTTCTTTCTTTTTTAAAACTTATTTACTCTTTTTTCAATTTCCACAGACTATCATTTTAAGATATAACATTATATTATATGTCACTTAGACCTTAAAAATTTAATAAAAATGTCATATGTTAACGCTTACATTTACCCTTTAGTTTTAAGTTTTTTCTTCTTCATCCTTCTTAAACCACTCTTGTTTTTTAATTAGTTAAGCCTTCTTTGTACATATCCAGTGAAAATTTAATCTATCGCTCAAATCTAGTAGTGCTTGATTTTAATTTTGGTTTTACAATTGTTGTGGTTAGTTGATAAAGTTTTAGATTTTAAATTATACTGATTAAGATTTAATTTTTGATACAAAATAAATAAAACTCTTTTTTGAGAAAAATCAACAGCTAATTTTATAATACTATTTATACATGCGTGCATCCACGAACATATATGTGCATGAAATAAACTCATATACAAGATAACAAAATTAAAAAAAAAAAAATAGTGATACATTGGCATACTACAATAGAAAAACTTAGGAAATAACAAACAATTTCCATTGACCTCTTGGGCTGCTCTCAAGCGGTAAACGAGTAAGAAATGATAGATTGGAGCCCTAGTTGTCGTTGAACCAAAAGAAATTGCAGTGACCATCCTTCAACACTAAATGTGCATCCAATATCCATGTGTAGGGGACATGGACATGGTACATTGTTTGACTGTTCAGGCATTACAATTTTCATTACACCGCTTTATGCAGAATCGACATAGACTAAGGAATAACCAGCCTCCCAGCACAAAAAAAGGATGTATGATGAAGTTTTGATTACCCAAACCAATAAGTAAACAATACCCTACAACTAAAGCTGTTCCTTTCCAGAATTCATCGTATAGAATAAGGAATAACCAAAATCCTACTATTACATTTTCTATAAAACCATTAAACAGAGCACCCGTAGGGAATAACCAACATCCTAGAATTAAAACACTAACTCTTGACACCCGATAAGCAAAACACATGAACATCATCAAAACGAAAACCATAACTGAAAATATATTAATAACTATAGTTGCTAAATCTGTTGGCGCTAGGAAAAAGATTGATTGATAAAAGCATCTAGCAAGAAATGCAAGGAGTATCTGAAGAGCAGTCCTGAAACCACGTGGAAAAGGTTTAAGGAGACCCAATGTTAGGAAAAACGTTACTATGAAGACCGCAGAGGTTGGAATGTAGCAATAAAGAAAAGTAATTTCATTCATGACCGATTTCCGCGGTACCTTTTCTTCATCTCCTAGATTGGCAGTGGAGTTTGAGGAACTGTCTCCCTGCCAAACACTACCAGGTGGGCTAAGACTGGCTTGATAGGTTGCTGTTAAAAGCAGTCCTAGAATTAGTAGCAAGGCATTACGGTCCTCGATTGATATATTGTCCATATCTTGAAAAATTACAGCCGATGCCTTCGTCACACACTTGAAAATTTGTTTCTGCAATTTATAATTAAAAGTTGAAACTCTTGGAATACAGCAACCACGTAGAATTCTAATGCTTTCTTTGTTATTAAGTTGTTGTGCAACATTCAGTGCCGTTGATCCATCCTGATTGGTCGCATGCTTGTCAGCCTTGCATTTCAATAGTAGTTTGAGCATCTGTTTGATTCAGATGAAATTATACAATCTGAAAAGAATCTTTTTCATTTTGCTAAAAATAAAATTAAATAGAGCATATAAGTAGAACCTCATGTTGATTATTACGTGCAGCTATGTGTAAGGCAGTGTCGCCATTTATGTCTTTCTGATTCACCGCATCCTCACGACAGTCAGACCTCCTAAGCCATCCCGCATAGGAGCTTGAGTACTTCTAATTTATTCTTTCTTGTTGCAATGTGCAAAGCAGTCTCGTTCGTAGTTGTCACATCTCGGATGCATTCGGGACAAACCTCCAAAAATCTGGCTATGAGATCAAGGTTTTCTTCTATGGATATTGCGTAGTGCAGTGGAGTCTCACCCTTCTTCCCTTTGATACGAACAAGATCTTTATCTTTTTCCAAGAGAAGTAGCACCAGTTCTTTATGTCCCCTTTCCACTGCAAGATGAATGGGACTAAAGCCTTGTTGGTTTAGCTTCCTAGCAAATGTAGGCTTTAAAGTCATTATCTCCATTGCAAAATCAATGCACCCTTCTGCTGCTGCTATGTTTAATGGAGTGTCAGCAAAGTCTCTCCCATCAATACGCCTCAAAACATTAGAATTTCTTTGGATTGATGCGTATAATTCATCAACATTTCCTTCTCGAGCAGCCCTCCTCAAATTTTCATCCATATCAGAAAAGCCAAATGACAATGACAATGCCAATGAAAGGTCCGGACTTTATATAGCAAAATTAAAGGGTAAAAGAGAAGATGGAGAAGTCAAGAGTATGGTTTCACTTAATGTTGAGCAGCATCCTTCCTCCCGGCAAACACAAACACGAAATCTAGGTGCAATGATAAATTTAGAATTTACATGTTAAATAGAGCAATACAATAAGATTTTTATATTCACCCTTCAGGAATGAATTTATAAGTAAAAAAAAATCGCTGGTGCTTTTTTATAGTCAATTATAGTCAACAAGAAAAACACAAAAATTAAAAAATAAGTTAAAAGTTTCAATAGCCAATTATATTGTCTCCTTTCTCGTGGTGTCTCATGTAGGGGAGCAACTGTTCCAATATTTTAGCCCATAAAATATCGACTCTCTCAGACCAATAATCTATCTCTCTAGAAACTTTCAAAAGACTGTTGTTTAATTTATTCGGATTTTAAAATTATCTGAGGCTGCATAGCACCACTTGCTATGTAATATATAATGATATAATCTTACCAAAAAATATATGTATACATATAATGATATAATAATTGGCCTCTATTAGAAAATATTAAGAGAAAGTGATAACGAGGAAAGAATCTGATTTTGAGGTGTAAATAACTTTTTTTAAAGATATTTATGTTTTGAGGATATAATAAAATTTTTTAATTTTTAAATCAAAATTTATAAAAATAATTATATAAAAAATTTTATTTATAATGAATAAAAAAATAAAATTTTTTATACAAATGATTATAGTCATTTGTATAATCATAATTTTTTTGTTAAATTAGTTAAAATTTTATGAATAATATATTATAGTTTTATATTAAATAATTATGATTATTTGTCATATAATTATTTAAATAATAAAAATCATTTCTATTCAAATAAATTTATGTAAAATATAAGTAAAAATTTTGAAAATTAATTAATAAAAAAATTAAAAATAAGTCTATTTAACAAAAAACTCAAGTGCTTCAAATGTACAAGAACCCAATCTATTACTTTCAAAATTCTTTCAATAAGCAATTAACAAAATTTCAAAAAACATCCTTCAAAACATAATATATATATATATATATATATTACAAAATACATATTTATCATATAAAATTTATTGATGTGAACATTTATGTAAATAAATTTTTTACACATAAAAAATTTTATGTATTTATGATATAAAATTTGCTGATGTGGAAGTTTATGAAAATAGCCTTCTTTTTCGACATGTAAGAAAATTTTCAGATTTTCTCTTTATAATGACACATAAATTATTTTCTAATTTTAAACTATTTATCAAAAAAATATATATTTAAAAAATTATTGAATTATCTAAAATTTTCAAATTTTAAATAAAAAATAAATTTAAATTTAAAATAATTAAATAGATAAATTTATTATTTTTGTAAGATTTTATTTAAATAAATAAAATTAATTCTTATTTTTATTAATTAATTAAATAAATGTATTTAAAAAGTCATTAGTTATCCAAATCTTGTTAAGATATATTTATTTAAAATTTTTTTAATTATTCAAAGGTTTTCTTTCAACTGAAAAAAAATCATCTCCATTTGTCAAATATACTTTTAGATATATCTTAAAGGCTGTCTTACAAGTAAAAATTATAAATACAGTCAAATATTTTTATCATAGTGTATATTTATACTAAAAATTAATAATAGATAAACCAATCAAATAAAAGCAATATAAAGTGTGTTGAATTATAGTAGCATAATATGAGATTTAATTAAAGATGATTTTTTTGTTAATCTAAATCAAAGTTTATACATGAGCTCTTAAGAGTGTACATGAACTTTTACTGAATTATGAAAATAAATATAAATTAGATGAACATAAGATAGAGATTATTATACTAGAAACAGAAAATGACCTTAAGAATGACCAAGCAAGCATAGCAATTAACTAATTTATTTTTAAAATACTCATCAAAATTTCATGATAAATATGCACTACTTATTTTTATTTTACAATAATCAAGGCAATAATATTTTTTTAAATTAATTTTTTAATAATTTAGATATATATCTTTTAAAATTTAAAAACATCAAATGTAATTTTATCTTAATAGATAAATAATATCATACCTAAAGTCTATGAGATTATTTGGTAAAAAAAAATTGATATAAAAAATAATTTATGATTTTTGAAATCTCATTATGTTTTGAATTATATAAATTTACAAGTGTATAAAAATAACAAGAAAAATTAGAGATGATGCAAATTGAAGAAAATTAATTTCAAGTGACAAGATTTTTAGTTTCTATTTTAATATTTAGTTGCTGTACTTAATAATATTATTTACAATATCTTTTGAATTTTTTCTCCTCCAATATTATTTATCTTATATTTTAAATTTTGTTTATTTTTTAATTAAAAATTTATTTTTGTTATGATTTAATATCTTAATTATAATTATATTTTACATATATTTTAAACATATAAATAATTAAATAATATTGATTTATATTTTTATTCATATTTAAATAAAATAAAAATAATTTATGCACTGCAAAAATAGTAAGTTAATTTAATAAATAATTATTAATTAATACAAAACCAAAAAAAATTTAAAAATTCAAACTCATATCCAATGTTTTTGCTCTCTCCATTTTAATTCAATTACATAGTTCCTTTCAAACTTAGGTGCTATTTAGTCGGTATATTACAGCCAACAAGAAACATTAGAAAAACAAAAAAAAAAAAAAAAAAAAGGAGCACAATATTGAAAACTTAGTTTTGGTCAATATCTTCAATTTTTTTAGGTATTAAATTGATACTGTTCATACACGAGTTTGTTCATCCGTAAGCTCCAAAATATGGAAAACATTAAAAAAAAATTTTATCACTTTTAACAAGTTATAAAATTTTTCAAATCTATATTTCCAGTTTTTTGCTTTTGCATATAAAAAACAACATATCAAACACACTTTTGTATCCAATTTCCAAAAACAATGTAGAAAAACATAAAAAAGAGACTATTTGCATCCTACCCTTTTCTTTTTATACTTCAATTTTAAAAAAAAAAATTTTTAAAGTAAAATTACTTAATTACACTTTTAAATAAGTTTTTGAAAATAAATTTTTAAAAATTTTTTTAAAGTTTTCATAACTAGATTTCTAAAAGCCTTTAAGCACTATGAAAAATCTATTTCTAAAAACCTTAAAAGATTTTTTGAAAATTTATTTTTGAAAGTTTAGAATCACACTAAAACATTTTAATATGAGATCTTATGAAACTAAATATAAAATTAAACAAAGAAAAGAAAAAATAAATGATTTTAAAGGTAAAAAAGTATTTAAAAATTTCACCCATTTGAAATAAAAAAAAGTCATAAAATCAAATGTAAATAGTTTGTTATTTTTATTTTTTCTTTTGATTTCGTATTTAATTTTATAAAATTTTATGTGAAATATTTTGATGCAATTCATAATTTTTTAAAATGAATTTTTAAAAAATCTTTAAAATTTTCAAAAAAAAATTTTCAAAAACTTTTAAAAACTTATGAAAATAGATTTTAAAAAATTTTTAAAGGTTTTTGAAAATTAATTTTTAAAAAATTTTTAAATTTTTGAAATTTCTTTTTCAAAAATTTATTAAAAATAATTAAATAATTTTATTTAAAAATTTTTAAAATTAAAATGTGAAAAGAAAAAGGTACGGTGCATTTTGCAGCACTAAAATAAATTGGTATTGATTATAGTAAGATGCATGTTCCGAACTGTTGGTTACTTCTCACGTAACTTTCCCTGTTATTTTTCTTACTCCAATCAAGTCAAATGCTTTGGCCCTGCTGTCTGCCAAAGCTGACGTCTCATATTTTATCTTTTCACAACAAATGTCTAAGAGCCTAGTAGAAAAAACAAATGATTTAAAACTTTTAAAAGTAAAAAAATATTTAAAAATTTTACTCATTTAAAATAAAAATATAAAATCAAAGATAAATTATTTATTTTCTTTCATTTGATTTTGTATTTAATTTTATAAAATTTTATGTTGAAATATTTTGATATAATTCAGAACATCTCAAAATAATTTTTTTTAAAGTTTCAAAAAATGAATTTTTAAAAATTTTTGAAAATAAATTTAAGAAAAATTTTAAAAGTTTTGAGAAATCAATTTTAAAAAATTTTTAAAATTATTTGAAATTTTATTTCAAAATTTTATTTAAAGAATAATTAAATAATTTTATTTAAATTTTTTAAAATTAAAATATGAAAAGAAAGCGGTTTGGTTCATTTTGCAGCACTAAAAAAATATTGGTATTGGCCATGGTAAGATGCATGTTCCGAACTGTTGGTCACTTCTCGCCTAACTTTCTGCATTGCGTTTCTCACTGCAATCAAATCAGATGCATTAGGCCTGCTGTCTACCAAAGCTGGCCTCTCATCTTCTATCTTTTCACAACAAATGTCCCAGGGCCTAGTGGGGAGTGAGTTGATCTCAAAAGCACCAAAAGTCATGTAACCCTCTAGCAAACTTTCTTTTTTTTTTTTTTTTTTTTTAATTTTTTAATTAAATATATAAAATATTTTTTGATAATAATTAAAGGGGAAAAACTTTTGAAAACTTTATTTCTTGTTTTTTGTTTTTGAATATAAAAAACAACGTATCGAACACTTTCGTATCCGATTTCCAATAGTGTTTTTGAAAAACATGAAAAAGGAAAGGCATTGATCAGGCCTTGACTCCGATTTCCGAACTGTTGGTGACCTTTTACGTAACTTTCTCCATTACTTTTCTGACGCCACCAATGAAATCAAATACCTTGGCCCTACTGTCTGCCAAAGATGGCCTCTCTTCTTTTATCTTTGCACTCCAAATCTCTAAGAGCCAAGTGGGGAGTTAGATGATCAACCCCAAAAGCACCGAAAGCCCTATAGCCCTATACCCAACTCTCTCTCTCTCTCTCTCTCTCTCTCTCTCTCTCTCTCTCTCTCTCTCTCTCATATT